TTAAACATTCTCCTATTCATTCCTTCTTGCTCCCGCCCAAACCTCTGGCAACCTGACCTTTTTTTTTTTTTTTGACACAGAATCTTGCTCTGTCACCCAGGCTGGAGTGCAGCGTGGGGATCTCGGCTCACTGCAACTTCTGCCTCCCAGGTTCAAGCAATTCTCTTGTCTCAGCCTCCCTAGTAGCTGGGATTACAGATGCCCGCCACCATGCCTGGCTAATATTTTGTATTTTTAGTAGAGATGAGGTTTGGCCATGTTGGCCAGGCTGGTCTCGAACTCCCGACCTCAGGTGATCCACCCACCCACCTCGGCCTGCCAAGCAACCTGATCTTTTAACTGTCTGTATAGCTTTGCCCTTTCCAGAATGTCATATAGTTGGAATCATACAATATGCAGCCTGCTCAGGTTGACTTCTTTCACTTAGCAATATGCACTTAAGGCTCCTTCATGTTGTTTCATGGCTTGATAGGTACATATCTGATATGGTTTGGCTATGTCCCCACACAAATCTCACTTTGATTGTAATAATCCCCACATGTCAAGGGTGGGGCCAGGTGGAGACAATTGAATCATGGGAAGGGGGTTTTCCTGTGCTGTTCTCGGGGTAGTGAATAAGTCTCGTGAGATCCGATGGTTTTATAAACGGGAGTCCCCCTGCACAAGCTCTCTCGCCCACCACCATGTAAGACGTCCCTTTGCTCCTCCTTCATCTTCTGCCGTGATTGTGAGGTGTCCCCAGCCATGTGGAACTGTGAGTTCATTAAACCTCTTTCCTTTATAAATTACCTACTCTCAGTTATGTCTTTATTAGCAGCATGAGAACGGACTAATACAATTTATTTTTGGCGTTCAATAATATTTCGTCATTTGGATATGCCACAGTTTATTCAAAAATGAGAAATTTTTTATGATAAAGAATTATGTTAATTTTTAGAAAAAGAAAATCTAAGAAGGGAAAAAACCAATCCTCTGTCATTCTACCTCTTAAAGACCATACTGTTATTACTCTGCTATATTTCCTTTTAGTGTGTGTATGTGCACGCACACGTGTGTATGCATGAATGTGTGGACATCATTTTGGCTTGACTTATAGCTACAGTCACATGGTACAGAAAATGTTTGATTCGTTTTTTTTTTTTTTTTTTGAGACAGTGTTGCTCTTGTTGCCCAGGCTAGAGTACAATGACATGATCTCGGCTCACCACAACCTGGGTTCAAGCAATTCTCCTGCCTCCGCCTCCCAAGTAGCTGGGATTACAGGCATGTGCTACCAAGCCCAGCTAATTTTTTTGTATTTTCAGTAGAGATGGGGTTTCTCCATGTTGGTCAGGCTGGTCTCAAACTCTTGACCTCTGGTGATCTGCCCACCTCGGTCTCCCAAAGCGCTGGGATTACAGATGTGAGCCACTGCGCCCGGCCTTGTGCACTGTTTTAAATGTCTGCAGTGATTTCCCTTGAGTGGGGATATCACAATTTTTTGGTTTTTTTTTTTTTTTTTTGAGACAGAGTCCTCTCTCTCTATCGCCTAGGCTGGAGTGCAGTGGACCAATCTGGGCTCACTGCAAGCTCCACTTCCTGGGTTCACACCATTCTCTTGCCTCAGCCTCCCGAGTAACTAGGACTACAGGTGCCCACCACCACGCCCAGCTAATTATTTTTGTAGTTTTAGTAGAGACGGGGTTTTACCTTATTAGCCAGGATGGTCTCCATCTCCTGACCTCGTGATCTGCCCACCTCGGCCTCCCAAAGTGCTGGGATTACAGGTGTGAGTCACCGCGCCTGGCAGATATCACAGTTTCTTAACTATGCCTCTGTTTCTGGACTTCGGGGCTGTTTTCAATTTAGTGCTAATATAAATAAGTTTATCCTGAGTTCTTGGTCCTTAACTAGTTGTATAGATCCCCTGGCTCCACCCATCCACTTGCTAGGAAATGGAGTAGCTAAGACAGAGAGCGTGAACGTTTTTAAGACATCCCCAAGATTTCTTTCTTTTATAATGCATTTTTTATTGTGGTGGAAAACACATAACATAAAAGTTACCATGGTAAACACATAACATTGCAGTTACCACTGCACCCAGCCTCCAGAACATTTTCATCTTGCAAAACTGAAATTCCATATCCTTTAAAACAGCAACTCCTTGGCCGGGCGCGGTGGCTCACGCCTATACTCCCAGCACTTTGGGAGGCCGAGGTGGGCGGATCACAAGGTCAAGAGATTGAGACCATCCTGGCCAACATAGTGAAACACCGTCTCTACTAAAAACACAAAAATTATCTGGGCATGGTGGTGGGCGCCTGTAGTCCCAGCTACTCAGGAGGCTGAGGCAGGAGAATGGCATGAACCCGGGAGGCAGAGGTTGCAGTGAGCCAAGATCGTGCCTCTGCACTCCAGCCTGGGTGACAGAGTGAGACTCCATCTCAAAAAAAAAAAAACAAAAAAAAAAACCAAACCAGCAACTCCTCTTTTCCCTCACTCCCCCAGCCCCTGGAAATCACCATTCTACTTTTTGTTTCTATGCGTTTGACTATTCTAGGTACCTCATATAAGTGGAATTAGATTGCCTTCCACTTAGTGTTTGTTTTTGTGGCCGGCTTATTTCATTTAGCATAATATCCTCAAAGTTCATTCATGTTGAAGTATGTGACAGGATTTCTTTGCTTTTAAAGGCTGAATGCTATTTCTGCTGTGGTGTGAATATTTTTGTACACCCCACCTCTGCCAAACAAAAATTCACATGTTGACACCTGATCATGAATGTGATAGTATCAGGAAATGGAGCCCTGGGGAAGTGATTAGGACATGGGGGCAGAGCCGTCATGAATGGGATAGTGGCCTTTATTGAAGAAACCCTAGAGAGACTCCTCACGCCTTCCAACATGTGAGGATACAGCAGGAAGATGCCATCTATGAACCAGGAAGTGGGCCATCATCAAGCAGCTCTTTTACCCACCACCATGCTGGCACCTTGATCTCAGACTCCCCAACCCCTAGAACTGTGATAAATAAACTTCTGTTGTTTATAAGGCACCTAATCTAAGATATTTTGTTCTAGCAACCTGAATGGACTAAGACAATTCCATTGTATGTATATACCACATTTTGTTTACCCACTCATCCATCAATGGACATGTGTATTTCTACTTTTTTTTTTTTAGATAGAGTCTCACGCTGTTGCCAGGCTGGAGTGCGGCAGTGCAATCTCAGCTCACTGCAACCTCTGCCCCCCAGGTTCAAGTGATTCTTCTGCCTTAGCCTCCTGAGTAGCTGGGATTATAGGTGTGCCATCACGTGTGGCTAATTTTTGTATTTTTAGTAGAGATGGGGTTTCACCAGATTGGCCAGGCTGGTCTTGAACTCCTGGCCTCAAGTGATCCACTAACTTTGTGCTGGGATCCACTCCCAAAGTGCTGGGATTACAGGCGTGAGCCACTGTGCCTGGCCATCTATCTCTTGACTAGTGTAAATGATGCTGCTATGCACATGGGTGTACAATATCTGCTAGAGTCCCTGCTTTCAATTTTTTAAAATATATATCCAGAATTGAGGTTGCTGACGTGTTAGTCCATTTATGCTGCTATAACCTATAAAATACCTAAGACTAGGTAATTTATAAACAATAGACATTTATTTTCTCACAGCTCTGGAGGCTGGGAAGTCCAAAGGCAAGGTGCTGGCAGGTTTGGTGTCCAAGTGAGGGCTGCTCTCTGCTTCCAAGACGGTGCCTTCTTGCTGGATTCTCACATGTGGAAGAGAGCAAAAAGGCACAAATACTGCGTTCTCGCACGGCAGAAGAGATGGAAAGGCCCAGCAGTTCCCTGGAGCCTCTTTTATAAGGCCATTAACCCCATTCATGAGTGCTCTGCCCCCATGGCTTTATAACTCCCCAGAAGGCCTCATCTCTTAACACCACCACAGTGGGGATTAAGTTTCAACATGAATTTTGGAGAGACACAAACATTCACACCATAGAAACTGGATCACATGGTAGTTCTATTTTTAATTCTTTTAAAAAGAAACTTCATATACATATATATACACACACACATATATACACACACATATATACATATATATGCATGTATATATATAAAATATATATACACACCCACATATATACACACACACATATATACACACACATATATACATATATATGCATGTATATATATAAAATATATATACACACCCACATATATACACACACACATATATATGTATGTGTGTATGTGTGTGTGTGTGTGTATATATATTTTAAAGGCCTCGTTGCCCTGGACTTTCTGTCTCCTTCCTGTAAGCAGAACTCAGGACAGTGGCCCATCCTGCCAGCCTTGGCTTGCTGTGCTGTTACGTGGTCTTTTTGTTACAGAATGTGGCCTGTTCCCCGATTAATACAAGCCCAAAGGTCTACACACACCCATGCAAAAGGACCTGTGTTATTCATTGTTCATTCAGCATTATTCCTTGGATATGCTTTTAATAACTGAAGACTGGAAACAACCTAAATGTCTGCTAGTAGGTGACTGATTAAAGAAAATGAGACACATCTCTCCAGTGAAATTCCATGCAGCTAGTTAAAAAAAAAAAAGAAGAAGAAACTTAAATGTTAAAAAATAGACTTTATTTTTCAGTGCAGTTTCGGGTTCAGAGCAAAATTGAGAGAAAAGTACAAAGAGTTCCTGTATACCTTCTTCCCCCACCCATGCACAGCCTCACCTCATCAACATCCCCTAGCAGAATGGTGCATTTGTGACAATTGATGAACCTCCACTGATGCATCATAATCACCCAGAGTCCATAGTTCACAGCTCACTGCAGCCTCAACCTCCTGGGCTCAAGGGATCCTCCAGCTTCAGCCTCCTGAGTAGCTGTGACTATTCAGGTATGGGTAAGTATGTGCCACCATAACCAGCTAATCTTTAAAACTTTTTGTAGAGACAGAGTCTCGTCATGTTGGCTAGGGTAGTCTCAAACTCCTGGGCTCAAGTGATTCTCCTGCCTCGGCCTCCCAAAATGCTAGAATTACAGGTGTGAGCCACTGCACCTGGCCCCAAAGTCCATAGTTTACATTTGGGTTGACTCTTGGTGTTGCACTTTCTGTGGGTTTGGACAAATGTGTAATGACATGTATCCACCATCACGGTATCATACAAAGTAGTGTCACTGCCCTAAAGAGAAGCATTTTGGTTAAAGAAAAACAAAGTTCAAAACACATGTTTGTTAACATTTGCATTTTTAAAAAAGTTGGAGAGTGAATATATATTTGGATTTGCTTGTATAAACCTAATGGGGGTCAGCGTGGGAGGAAGATTTTTGGTTTCTCTCTCTCTCTCTCTCTCTCTCTCTATATATATATATATTTTTTTTTTTTTTAAACTGAGTCTCACTCTATCACCCAGGCTGGAGTGCAGTGGCATGATCTCGGCTCACTGGAACCTCCGCCTCCCAGGTTCAAGCGATTCTTCTGCCTCAGCCTCCAGAGAACTGGGACTACAGACGTGTGTCACCACACCTGGCTAATTTTTGTATTTTTAGTAGAGACAAGGTTTTGCCATGTTGCCCAGGCTGGTCTCGAACTCCTGGCCCCAAGTGATCCACCTTCCTCCCAAAGTGTTGAGATTACAGGCGTGAGCCACTGTGCCTGGCCTGTCTCTACATATTTTGATGTTAGTGCATGTATGTGAATGCATTATGTGAATGTGATTTAATGTGAATGCATTACCTATTCAGAACATAAATAAATAAATACAATGTAAAAGTTTAAATAATTTGGCTGGGCGCAGTGGCTCACGCCTGTAATCCCAGCACTTTGGGAGGCTGAGGTGGGCAGATCACCTGAGGTCAGGAGTTCGAGACCAGCCTGGTCAACATGGCGAAACCCCATCTCCATTAAAAATATAAAAAATTAGCCGGGTGTGGTGGCGGCCACCTGTAATCCCAGCTACTTGGGAGGCTGAGGCAGGAGAATCGCTTGAATCTGGGAGGCGGACATTGCAGTGAGCCGAGATTATGCCACTGCATTCCAGCCTGGGTGACAAGAGTGAGACTCCGTCTCAAAAAAAAAAAAAAAAAAAGTGTAAGTGCAAATAATTCATCTTTCCACTCAGGTTTCTTTCTTTTTTTTTTTTTTTTGAGATGGAGTCTTGCTCTGTCACCCAGGATGTAGTGCAGTGGCACGATCTCAGTTCACTACAACCTCTGCCTCCTGGGTTCAAGGGATTCTCCTGCCTCAGCCTCCCGAGTAGCTGGGATGACAGGCGTGTGCCACCACGCCCAGCTAATTTTTGTATTTTTAGTAGATAAGGGGTTTCGCCATGTTGGCCAGGCTAGTCTTGAACTCCTGACCTCATGATCCGCCCACCTCAGCCTCCCAAAGTGCTGGGGTTACCAGCGTAAGCCACCGTGCCTGGCCTCCCAGTCAGGTTTCTGATGTTGGCCTCCTGAGCTGAAAACCTGCTGGCAGAAGGGATGGGGCTGTGGGTGTGGCCTCCACGCACAGAGGGCAGTTGGGCTACACTTCCTGCCCCTGGGACTCCTACCCCTGTCCTGCCCGCGTCCAGCCTGCTGTGCCCAGGGGAGACCCAGCCCTCCATCTGCCACCCCAGACAGGCAAGCTGCTAGCCCTCTTCCTGCCAACTGAGCATCCTAATTACACAATAAATACTAATTGCCCGTGACCAGGCTCTTCCACTGTTGTAGACATTAACCAAAGTCACGCCTAACAAGGCTCACCATTAATTATCTGTGCTCGCTGCTCCAGAATTTAATTATGCTTTGGCAGAAATAGCAATCCACGTAGGATGTCTGAGAAAACAGAGCTTGCAAAGATGCCCTCTTCTCATCAGGTGTCCTGGCAAAGCTGCTCCAAGCCCCTAGGATTTTCCCAGTGCATAGAAGGAGATACCAGGGAAGGAAACAGACGCCAGTGCCTGCTGTACACTGAGAAAAACAAGGCATTGTCAAATACATCATTTCATCAAATCCTTGCAACCACTGTCAGAAAAGGGTCCCCACTTTACCGATGAGGAAAACTCAGAGAGACCCAGTGACTTGCTAAGCAATTGGCAGAGCCGGACCTGAGTTGCAGCCCATCCATTTTCATTGCTTGTTGCTGGAGGGATAGTCTTTATGATGTTTTTCCTGTAATCTTGAGCTTATGTAGTATTTTTCTTTCTCCAAAGCACTAACAAGAATTATTACGTCTTAGTCACACATGTGTTTATTAAGAAAACAAAACACTGAAGTATCTGAAGCCTAGAAAGATTGTGACGTACACACAGCCACACACCCAGGTTCACACTCTGAGTGTCACTGTCAGGAAGGCAACAGAGTAGGTGGGTAAGAGACTGGCCCTGATGTTAGATGACCTGGTTCAAGTCCTGTCTTTATCGTTGACCTGGCTTTATTGAGGCAACCTCAGTCAGGTTACTTGGTTACTTGCTCTCCCTGCCAATGGCATCTAACTGTTTGGGTAGTTACAAAGATCAAATGATATATTTATAGGGCATGATGCCTGGGACTTTTCATAATTTCCCTAAGATTTCTTCCTCTAGAGCCACACCACACTAGCTTGGGGCCTTTATTTCAAAGTCACTTTGATAAATTTGGGGGGAAAAATGGTCCCAATGATTCAGGATTCCCCTCCCTGCCTTTTTGTAAGACAACTTCTTTGCTTCTTTCATTAAGAGGTAGAGTCTGTTTCCCGACCTCTTGAAGCTGGGCTGGCCTTACACTTTGACCAACAGAATGAGACAGAAGTGACAAGGTGCCAGTTCCAAGCCTGGTCTTGCAGTTTTCCTTACTCCCTTGGAGCCCTGCCACCCACATGAACAAGCTCAAGCTAGCCTGCTGGATGGTGGGAGACACATAGCCCAGTTACCCCCATCAACTCCAGCCAATGGCCAGCCAACTCGGATGTATGAGTAAGGCCACTTAGACCAGTCAGTATCCAACAGACCTGCCAGCTCACTGTAGACCATGAGTAAGCCCAGCTAAGACCAGCGGAGCCTGGTCCAGATGAGCAGATTGTCCTACTGACTCATGAGCAATACTGTTATTTTACATCACTGAGTTTGGAGGGATTTTGTTAGAAGCAGATAACTGATGTTACCATTTATGTAACTTATCCTCAGGCAAGAATGCTGATGGGACACAGTATGGTTCACATTTCACTTCCCTACTGCTCAGGCTGGGGCAGAAGGAGAGAGTCCAGAGCAACCTGAGGAATCATTCCAATCATGGGAATTGTCCTTCTTCTTCTCCCAGAATCTGGTGTAACTCACTTCAAACAGCCCATTTCTTTTTTTGGTCTGAAAAATGTCTTTATTTCAGCCATATTCTTAAAAGATACTTTTGCTGAATATAGAATTCTAGGCCGACAGTTCATGTTTTCTCAGACATGGAAGGTAATCATGCCCTGTCCTCTGGCTCCCATTATTGCTCATGAGAAGTCAACTGTTAGTCTCACTGAAAGCAATCTCTCTTTCCTCCTTGGCTGCTTTAAAGACCTTCTCTTCCAGGTGCGGTGGCTCACACCTGTAATCTCAGAGCTTTGGGAGGCCAAGACTTGAGGCCAGGAGTTCAATAGCAGCCTGGGCAGCAAAGCAAGACTCCATATCCACAAAAATTAGCCAACATGGTGGCACATGCCTGTGGTCCCAGCTACTTGGGAGGCTGGGGTAGAAGGATTGCTTGAGCCCAGGAGTATGAGGCTGCAGTGAGTTATGATCGTACCACCATACTCCAGCCTGCGTAACAGAGAAAGACAGAGAAAAAGAGAGAGAGAGAGAGAGAGAGAGAGAGAGAGAAAGGAAGGAAGGAAGGGAGAGAAACAGAGAGAGAAAGAAAGAAAAAAGAAAGAAGGAAAGAAAAACTCATTCTCTCTGTTTTTGTGCAATTTCATTATGATTTGTCTATATGTGGATTTCTTTTTATTTATTGGACTTCTTAAATCTAAACTTTGATTTCTGTATTAGTTAAAATAAGTAATACTAGCTGCTGTAACAAACAACTTCCAAATCTCAATGGTGTAGTAGAAGAGCTCATTGGGTGATCTTGGTGACCAACTATGCAACTGTCCTCTGAACAGGGGGCCTAGGGACCTAGGTGCCTTCCAGCTAATGTAGGAGTTTTCAACCTAGGGTTTGCTGTTGATGAGAAGCTCATAAACAGAATTTAGGGAGTCAATTAACTTAAATGGGGGAAAAGTTGCATTGTTACTTTCTTTACTCTCTAAAATTTAGTATTTGGCCGGGCACAGTGTAATCCCAGCACTTTGGGAAGCCAAGGCAGGTGGATGACCTGAGGTCAGGAGTTCGAGACCAGCCTGGCCAACATGGCGAAACCCTGTCTCTACTAAAAATACAAACATTAGCCAGGTGTGGTGGCAGGTGCCTATAATCTCAGCTATTCGAGAAGCTGAAGCAGGAGAATCACTTGAACCCTGGGGGCAGAGGTTGCAGTGAGCCGAGATCACGCCATTGCACTCCTGTCCGGGTGACAGAGTGAGACTCCATCTTAAAAAATAAAAATTAAATTAAATTAAGTATTTTATGTAATTATGAATGTAGACAACAAACCACAATTTTACGCCTGTGAATTTGTTACCAGTGGAAATTGCAAATATCTTAAATGATTGTTTACATTTATTTATGACTTTGAAACTATGGCAGTATTAAACCTACCGTGGAATTGCATGTAATCAAAGTCTTTCTGTCCATGGATGCTTGGTTCAAAGTTGCTGGCCCATTACCGGGCAACTCAATACTCAATAATCATTCATCCAAAATGGTGGCATTGTGTCTGTCACATTGGTGAGCTAGTCCTCTGCTGTGTCCAATATCCTCTATCAATGATTGCGTATTGATCAGCACATGGAAAGGAAAAGAGTCAATACCACTGTTTAATGTTATGGAAGCAAATTAAGAGCAGCCTTCACCCTGATACGTCTTCGAAAAATACAATTTAATTTTAACTTGCCTACATTTTAAATGAATGGTTTTGTTTTTCAGTGTGTTAATAGAGATGTGCATAGAGGGTTTTTTTTTGTCCTTTTTTTCTCTTGGATGTCTGCTTCTTATTCCACTAAGTATCTCTTTCAATTATTATACTTTTTATCCCCAGAAGTTCCATTTGATTCTTTCCCTTTTTTTGACCATTTCTTTAACAGATTTTAAAATTTCCTAAACATCTTTTCAAGCTCATATCCTGCTATAAACTAAATGTTTGTGTCCTCCCCAAATTCATATGTCGAAGTCCTAATCACCCATGTAATGGCATTTGGCAGTGGGGCCTTTGGGAGGTAATCAGGTTTAGATGAAATCATGAGGGTGGAGCCCCCATGATGCTATTAGTGTCCTTATAAGAAGAGGAAGAGACAACAGAGCTCTTGCTCGGTCTTTGCCATGTGAGGACACCACAAGAAGGCAGCTATCTACAAGTCAGGAAGAAGACCCTCGCCAGACACCGAATCTGCCAGCATCTTGATCTTGGACTTCCCAGCCCCCAAAAATGTAAGAAATAAATGGTTAAGCCACCCAATGTATGGTATTCTGTTACAGCAGCCTGAGCTACGACATATCCCTAGCACCAAGAATAATGCCTGGTAAATAACAGGTGCTCAATAAACAGGTGCTGGATGAAAGAACACCTGTTACATGGCATCATATGTGCATGAAGGCGGGGGGTCGATGGAGGGGAAAGTGCAGGCCCTCCCATTGAGGACTCCGTAGGGCTGAGGCAGGTGCAGCCACACTCACTGCTTACCATCTGTGGTTTCCTCATGTATAAACAAGGGATAATAATTATGTTTCCTTCCAGACAGTAGTGGGGAAATTGATTATGAATCACAGCAAACACATTGCCTGGCAGAACTTACTAAGTGCATACTCATTAGTATACTATATATTACTATAATACCAGTAACTATTTTATTTTTGTTACAGTTATTGTTGTTATACACCAGGCTCTGCACTACACACCCATCATCTTATTTAAACCCTTATAACCACCCAAAGCAATGGACATCATTAGCCACATTTAACATGAGGAAATGGAGACTGTGAGAAGCTAGGTAACTTCCTTTTGTTCAAAAAACAGTAGCTAGAGTGATTATTATGTTCCTAAGTACTGTAAGAGTGAGACCAAGTTCTGTGAGGGGTGAGGAGAAAAGGATGGTTTTCCATAGGAGACCATGTGTGATGCTGCCCTTCACACAGAATTGCTTCATTATCCTCTCCTCTAAGCTTCCAATGCCCTGTGGCCTGGGCAACTTTGTTCTGCACAAATGGGGTCAGCACTGTTGAGTGACATGTCCAGGCCCCCAGCATAGTCAGAGCCCAGGTCTGTATGACAAGATGAGGCTCCCTCCCTGCGCAGGTGCCTTGGCATACTCAGCAGTGGAGACACCAGTGGCCTTTCAGAAACCAAACGTGGCCTGGAGTGAGCCAAGGCAGGGTGTGGAGTAGGGTGGGGGTGAGAGAGAGGAAGGCATAGGCAACCTTGGCAAAGCAAGCAGCAGGAGGGCTGGGGACAGTTCTGGGTAGGAGAGGCCCTGGCCAGGTGCTTTCGGGGAAGGAGACTGATACAGTGTGGCTGTGCCCCCATGCAAATCTTATCTTGAATTGTTACCCCCACAATTCCCAAGCATTGTGGGAGGGAATTGAATCATGGGGGAAAGTCTTTCCTGTGCTGTTCTCACCATAGTGAATAAGCGTCATGAGAGCTGATGGTTTTATAAAGAGGAGTTCCCTGGCACAAGTTCTTTCTCTTTGGCTGCTGCCATCCATGCAAGACGTGACTTGCTCCACCTTGCTTTCTGTGGTGATTGTGAGGGCTCCTCAGCTATGTGGAACTGTATGTCTATTAAACCTATTTTTCTTCCCAGTCTTGGGTATGTCTTTATCAGCAGCATGAAAAAGTACTAATACAGAGACTCTGTCCTGGAGGCGCAGGCTGTGTAGAGGAAGTCAGGGAGAGGGATCTGAACCTTGCAGCCAGCTCCCAGGCTACAGAGCTCAGTGACCCTCTGGGCTAGAGCAGGCGTCTTCCATTTCCTTCAGGGTCTGTTGGGCCGCAGCTGAGTTTCCATGACCTCCAGCAACTCCAGTCTTGGTGCTTTTTGTTTTGTTTTAAGCAACTACAAAATGCTTCCCGTATGTTGTTTCCAGTTTCCCCAGGAATGAATCTCGATTGGGCTTGGAAGCCACAGATAAGGCGATCTTTACCTAATATGGCTGCGATTTCAAACTTCCTGTGGAGCATGAGACCAAACTGCATCAGAGCAGGATTCTGCACACTTGAAGATCATCCTTTGTTAGGTCACAGAACCTCTGTCGTATACAGGGACAAAAGGTGAATGTTCTCAGAAATGTTCATGCCCCAGAATTCAGAAAGGTGCCTCCCTAAGCTTCCACTTCTCACCAATGCAGAGATTGAAGCTCTTGGGTGTTGAGAGGGTTGGTCCCTGGTACCTAGCCGGTGGTTGTCGGAGGGGTCAGGGACAGTGTTCTGCCTCTTAAAACTGAGTTCATTGAGCTGCATCCATCACTACGCCCTGGATGTGTGTCCCTGCCGGCCTTTGTCACCATTCGTGTGATGGAAGGACCAGAAGCCAGGCACCCTGCAAGGTGCTGGGGACACAAAGATGATCACAATGCAGTTCCTGCCCTCAAAGAGCGCCCAAGCGGTGAGGGCTACAGCCAAGGAGATGCTTCCAATGTGGGTGATGGGAGTGGGGTGGAGGGTTATCTGGCTGGGTTAGTGGAGCCCACTGTGGTTTCTCGTTCCAGTCTTTACTTTTCCTTTCCAGCAGGCATCGCAACCCATGGCATTGGAAATTGCACATTTATCTGTTATTTAATTTGCCTCCTTCCCTTAGCTATGAGCTCCCTGGAGGGAGCGACAGATTCTGTTTGGTGCGTGACTATAGTCCTTGTGTCTAGCACATGCTTGGCACACGGCTAGTACATGGTTGGCTTCCAGGACACTTTTGGATAATGAATGAATGAATAAAGTTGGGGGGATGGTGGGTATGGAACAAGGGTGTAGCCAGGAAGGGTTTGGGGGTGGCAATGGTGGTGACTAGGCTCGGATAAGACTGAGCCAGTGAGGAGGATGCTTTGCAGGTGCATGTGACATGTGGATGGGTGGGTATGGCATGAGAAGCTGGGGTGCTTGGGTGAGGCCAGCATGAGAACCCTGAGGTGTTGCTTTCTCTTCGTAGAATGTTCTCATTTGCATTTCAACCCATCTGTTTGAAATCTTTCTCCCTTTCAAAACCCAGGTTGATTGCTCTTCCTCCCGACAGTTATGTTAACCCTCAGAATGAAGTACTTGGGCTGAGGTGTGGGATGGAGTCCCACAACCTGTGGCTTACGCAACTATGGAATGGGAACCGCAGGCTTAAGTCTTGCCTTGGTCCCATTCTCTCCTGTAGCTGTTTTGCCATGGGTAGAGGGACTACATGTTCCCCTGGGAGCCCTTGGGTCCTGAGAGAAGAGGCTGCAGCGGGTGCTGACTGGCAGTGGGGCTTTGAACCTTCTAGCCTCATCTGCTGGTGATGACTCCAGCAATGTGTCTGCCACAGGACAGTCCATGCCTAGGAATGACCATGTTGTCTCGATTTAGTCCTCCCGCTCCTGGATCACGCTATGCATATTATCCAAACATTAGGAGAACATCAATAGTATTTGCTTAGTTCTTCTTTTGCTGAGTCTTCCCATTATAAAATAGCCTGATTATATAAAACATGCTCAAATTATCAACAGGAAACATGATATTCAACCTAACCCATTAATCAAAGACATGAATATTCTCTAAGGAGAACCAAGCTTCTATAGATATGGATTTGCAGAGCTGCCCCTTCCCCTCTCCGTGATTTTTTTTTTTTTTCCTATTTTTAAAAATTATACTACTACTGCTGGTAAGAGAGCACTAAGAATCTGAGTCACTTCTAATGAGTGGGCAAATTACCACAATCTTTCTGGAGGGCAATGAGGTGATTTGCAAAGAGAGTCTCAAAAGTGTCTCCACCCTTTAACCTAGTTACTCTAGAATGGATCCTAAGGCACTCATTCTCAATTCAAAACAATATTTTATGCACACAGCCTTTTATCACAGTATTATTTTGAATAGTGAAAGATTCATACTCTTCAGAATACCCATTATCACTAAAATAGTGAAGCTGTAGTCCAACCACTTCATGGAAATATTATGAAGCAATTTAAAATGGTGGTTGCAACTTTTAAAATTGTATGGAAGACTCCAAAGTGAGGTCTTTGGATTCTAAATACCATTCTTGGCTGGGTGCAGTGGCTCACGCCTGTAATCCCAGCACTTTGGGAGGCTGAAGTGGGCGGATCACTTGAGGTCAGGAGTTCAAGACCAGCCTGGCCAACATGGTGAAACTCCGTCTCTACTACAAATACAAAAATTAGCTGGGTGTGGTGGTACGTGCCTGTAGTCCCAGCTACTTGGGAGGCTGAGGCACAAGAATCATTTGAACCCAGGAGGTGGAGGTTGCAGTGAGCCGAGATCATACCATGCACTCTAGCCTGGGTGATAGAAGGAGACTCTGTCTCAAAAAATAATAATAATAAATAAGTAAAATGGTGGTTAGCAACCTAAAAAATTGTATGGGAGATCCTAAAGTGAGGCCCTTAGATTCTAAATACCATTCTCTGCTAAAAGGAATCACAGGGTTTTCTGCAGATATGGCTGATTCCAGGTCTAGAGAAGGGAAGAACTAGATTAGACTAGAACATCTTGGCATGCAAAGAAGCAAAGTAAAGAAAACAAAGAAGTGCTTGAAAACTAATGGGGAGAGAGGTGAGGCCACAGGTTGAAGGGGCTCCTACTGGCCAAATCTGGGACAATTTAAATATCAACAATGGTGGTGCGGTGGCTCACATCTGTAACCCCAATACTCTGGGAGGCTGAGGTGGGAGGATTACTTCAGCCCAGGAGTTCAAGACCAGCCTGGGAGACATAGTGAGACCCCATCTCTACAAAAAAAAAAAAAAAAAAAAGCTGGGTGTGGGGGTGCACGCCTGTGGTCCCAGCTCAGTTGGGGTGGGAGGATTGCTTGGGCCTGGAAGGTTGAGGCTGCAGTGAGCTGTTATCATGCCACTGTACTCCAGCCTGGGCAACAGAGCAACACCCTGTCTCAAAATAAATATATATAAAAGAATAATGAGGATAATTATTTTAACATATTTAATTTTTAAAAAACAATCTGTAAGTACATAGTGATAGTATTTTTATTTTTATTTTTTTTGAGACGGAGTTTCACTCTTGTTGCCCAGGCTGGAGCGCAATGGCGCAATCTCGGCTCACTGCAACCTTGCCTCCCGGGTTCAAGCAATTCTCCTGCCTCAGCCTCCTGAGTAGCTGGGATTACAGGCATATGCCACCATGCCCAGCTAATTTTGTAGTTTTAGTAAAGATGGGGTTTCTCCATTTTGGTCAGGCTGGTCCCAAACTCCTGACTTCAGGTGATCCGCCAGCCTCGGCCTCCCAAAGTGCTGGGATTACAGGCATGAGCCACCGCGCCTGGCTATGATAGTATTTTTAAAAAGGGGGAGTAGAGAGCGAGAAAATAGCCAACTAACAATAGAAGGAATGATGATAGAATTAGAAAATCACCATTTTGCATCTAAATGTAATTCAGACAAGGATCTCCAATGCATTCTAAAATTGCTAAAAGTTTGTTAGGGAATAGGAAATTTGCAAGGTCTCAAGGTGTCACACATTTATTGACTAAAAAGGGGAAAATATACCTTTATAACGAAGAGAACTAGAAGAAACCATTTTAACCAAGTGATCGAAGTTAGCATCACTGACATTGCCTGCCTCTTGAAGTGACGTAGTGATTCAACATCACCTACATAGTATTCTTTCCAAAGTGTTGAACTTGAATCTAATCACAAAGAAATAAACAAATTCTTATGTTATAACTGGCTCATACGCTTCAAAATATCAACATTTAAAGGACCAAAAAAAGGGAAGAAAGAGAGCTGTTCTAGATAAAGGAGACAGAAGAGAATGATAATCCAATGCAATCTTGGGTTGGATCTTGGATCAGAAAATTAAAAGTAGCTCACAAAAAAATTTTTTGGATTGTTAGAAAAATTTAACTATGGACCATATGTAATATCATTGCACAAAGTTAGATTTGTTGGATGTGTTAATGATTTTGTTGTTACATAGGAGGCTACTTTTATTCTTAGGTCCAAGCTGGAATATCCTGGGATAAAGTGTCATGAGGTCTATAATTCACCTTAAGTTATTCAGAAAAAAAACAGAACAGCTGGGGCAAAATGTTAACAATGAAGTCTAAGTGAGTGCATATGGATATTCATTGTGTTATTTTTTCATCTTGTCCATAATTTTTTTTTTTCTCTTTTGAGACAGAGTTTTGCTGTCACCCAAGCTGGAGTACAATGGCACAATCTCAGCTCATTGCAATGTCTGCCTCCCACGCTCAAACAATACTCCCACCTCAGCCTCCTGAGTAGCTGATACTATAGATGCGTGCCACCATGTTCAGTTAATTTTTTAACTTTTTTTTTGGTAGAGACAGGGTTTCATCATGTTGCCCAGGTTGGTCTTGAACTCCTGGGCTCAAGCAATTCACCTGCCTTGGTCTCCCAATGTTTGCTGGGATTGCAGGCCTGAACCACTCCACCTGGCCTTCATGTTTATTTTCATAAACATGTTAGAAAGTTCGTGGGAGGTATTTACTGTAATACTGTTACATTGTTACATCAACAATGGATACATGGATATGTATCCAAATGAATATGCAATTCCATATTCCATTGTATGCAATATGAAGATACATATCCATGATCTGGATGACTGCTGTTTTAATTCAGCTTCTGTTCCACCTTCTCCACCCAGCAGCACTCTTATTTTCTTTCTTTCTTTTTTTTTTGAGCAGAGTTTCGCTCTTGTTGCCCAGGCTGGAGTGCAGAAGCATGATCTCAGCTCACCGCAACCTCTGCCTCCCGGGTTCAAGCAGTTCTCCTGCCTCAGCCTCCTGGGTAACTGGGATTACAGGCATACCCCACCACACCTGGCTAATTTTTTTTTTTTTTTTTTTTTTTTTTTTTTTAGTAGAGACGGGGTTTCTCCATGTTGGTCAGGCTGGTGGTCTTGAACCCCCAACCTCAGATGATCTGCCTGCCTTGGCCTCCCAAAGTGCTGGGAAAACAGGTGTGAGCCACTGCTCTCAGCCCCCTTATCTTCTTTTAGTGCTCAGCTCTCCCCCTTTTGGCTCATGAGGTCTAGATAGGGCATATGAACCACATCCACCTGTCCCCAGGGACTGGTAGGCACATGTCTTAAGTTAGTTCAACCAGAGCCAACAGACACTAAGCCCAGGGCTTTTTGCTGGACATGCTGGGAAAAGGCAGTATACTTTTCCCTGGAGGCCACCAAGCTGACTGGATGTGAACTGAACGATGTGGTCATCTTTGGGAAGTAGCTGCCTGTGAATTAAGCTGACACAACAAAGAGCTAAAAGGAGAAAGTTTGCAGTGTTTGAGACACTGAATGTAAACATACCTGAAGTTAGGTGAAACTGGGTTTCCCTGCCAGTGTCAGTTGTGTATTTCCTGCTTAAAACCTGAGGAGTCCTGACCATTGCAGGATGGAAATGCATAGAAAACGTAGATTCCTCCCACCACATAACAAATTACCTCAAGTTCAGCAGCTTTGCTTAAAACAACACATACTTATTATCTCATAATTGCTGTGGGTGAGGAATCTGGGCATAGTTTAACTAGGTTCCTTGTTTTTGGTTTCACAAGGCCACAACTAAGATGTCAACCAGGTCTGTGGTCTCATCCGGAGGCTCAACTGGGGAAGAATCTGCTTCCTAGTTCATTCAGGTTGCTGGTAGACTTCTTTTCCTTGCCCTTGTATTATTGAGGGCCCAGATTTTTGCTGGCTGTCAGCTGGAGGCTGCCTAAGGCCCTAGACACTGCCTATAGTCTTTTGCCACATGGGCTCCCCCACACGGCTGCTCACTTTGTCAAGCTAACAGGAAAGGTCCAGCCAGCGAAGGTGTAATCCTCTACAACATAATATAACCATGAGCCTGACAGCCTATTACCTTTGCCATGGAATGTAACCCAGTCTTAGGAGTGACATCTCTTCACATTTGCCATATTCTATTGGTTAGCAGCAAGTCACAGATCCTATGTGCACTCATAAGGAGAGAATTACATGAAGGCATGACCAGGAGGCAGGAGACTACTGGAGGTCAGGTAAGGGTCTGTTCACCACTGATGGGATGGGAAGAATCCACTTACCAACTGCTATACCTGCCCTTACCCACTGCTAAGCACTTACTTACTGAGTACTTGTGAGTACTAAGTAACGTACCCTGGTATTTATCCCCATTCTTCCTAACAGTAGCTATCACTGGAAAACGGGAAGAAGGTGCAGTGCTGAAGAGCACTAGAACTTTCTGCTCTGCATATGGTATTGTTTGGGATCTTTACAGTGAGCATGTAATCATGTGTTATGTAATTTAAAAATGCAAATGAAAATCGTATATACAGTATGGCTTCAACTAAAATCTGCTCTCTCTCCACTTCCAGACCTTCCTACATACATACACATTCACGATTGGGGGAAAAAAAAAAAAAAAAGACTGGAAGGAAACAGGCCAAATGGGACAACTTATTAGCCTGAAGTGTTGGGTCTATGGGTGAATATTTTCTTCTTTTCTGTATTTCCCACAATTAAGGAATATAATTCAAATAATGAGAAGAAAAAAAAAACTCCAAGTGATTTGAAATGATTTTTGGGTCCAATTTTATGGCCAAAAATAAAGAAAACCCTCTTGTTTACCTTCTGTAGAAAAGCAATTTCCTGCCTGGGTGGCTGATGAAGTGTCTGTTCCAAGATCTCAAAGAAATAAATCAGATGTCAGCGGGGAACCCACACCTGCTTCCTCTCACACTGATAAAGAACAATTAACTCTCATTAGAATGTATCTGGCTTTGTCCCAGAACTAAGCATTATTTGAAAAAATATGGCAGGTTTTCTCCCTGCCTAAAAGCTACTGGAAGGTCCTAGTCAAGATGAGAAATAGAAGATTCTGTGCCAGACGGATTTGATACACTGACATGTTTAGTAACCAAATAGGCCAAACCCATGGCCATGTGAAAACAAACAAAACATATGCTTGATCTCATTTCTACTGCTAATTGGAGGACCTTGATGGGTCTTTGGATCCGTCTGCTTGTCTGTAAAATTATAGAACTGAATATGAGGAGCTTCTATCAGAGCTGACTGAAAACCACACTTGTAGTCAAATAAACAAAACAAAACTACGAGGTTTATTAGACTCGCTGGAGCAAGGGAGACTGTGTACTCAAGAACATCTCAGTAACGGGAGATGATGGGGCCTTTTTTTTTTTTTTTTTAAGAGATAGGGTCTCCCTCTGTTGCCCAGGTTGGAGTGCAGTGGTGTGACCATAGGTCACTGTAACCTCGAACTCCTGGGCTCAAGTGAACTTCCCACCTCAGCCTCCCAAGTAGCTAAGACTACAGGTGTGCACCACCATGCTAGGCTAATTTTTAAATTTTTTGTGGAGACATGATCTTGCTATATTGCCTAGGCTGGTCTGGGATTCCTGGACTCAAGTGATCCTCCCATCTCTGTCTCCCAAAGAGCTGGGATTATAGGTGTGAGCTGCTGAGCCCAGCTGATGGACTTCTTAAAGGGTTTTGGCTTGTGTTGGAACATTATGAGGGAGAATAAGTAATGGGGGCCAGTTCTGGGACGGATGTTGTCGAGAAGCAGGGACAATTTGGTGACTGAGTAGCTCAGTCATTGTTATCTAAGAGGGTTAAAATGGGGCTCGAGTTGTTATTGGCAAAGCAGCAGCAGTTGTTCAGAAAGGGGCAATGCTTATTAGAAGAAGGGAATGTTTAGTAATTTTTGTGCTCCCAAGACTGGCCTTGTCAATGTCGTTCTGAGTATTGTTTATATTCTGCTGGACACATGGTTGATTGTCTAGCAGGGCTGCTTTTCACTATCTCAGCTTCATTCGACTTTATAAACATGCCATCCAGTAAAACTCAAATTGGAATGCACTTTACAACATAGAAAATGCTCTGTTTCCCTATGGGGGACTTCTTTGTGATGGTGGCATTTTCTCCATTTTTAACAAGGAAATTGAGGGTCAGAGATGGTAAGTGGCTTCTAAGGACCACAGCTACTTAAGTCATCAAGTCAGAAAAATAGTAGCATTCAGCTCTAAGTTAGTCCTGGTTTTGAAAATTGTTCATCTGACAAATCTGCACCGAGCACTTACTAAGTTCCTTGCACTATTCTGAGCTCTGAAGAGACAACCGTGATAGAGTTGAAATGTCAAGCCTGGAGTCCAGCTGGTGGGGTGGAAAGTGAAGAGGCAGCCCTGTGAAGCACAAGGACTGTGATGAGGGTGTTGTGGGAGCTCCTCACCAGGGAGGGATGCCATGCCCATATTCTACAGCTGCTGTAACAAATTTCCACAAACTTTGTGGCTTAAAACAACACAAATTTATTATCTTGCAGTTCTAGAGAGCATAAGTCTGGAGTAGGTTTCACTGGGCTAAAATCAAGGTGTCAGCAGGGCTACATTTCTTTGTAAAGGCTTTAGGGGAGAATCTGTTTCCTCATCTTTTTCAGCTTCTAGAGGCCTCCTGCAGTCTGTGGCTCAGAACCCCTTCCTTCCTCCACCTTCAAAGCCAAGAACGGCATTGCTGCAACCTCTGCTTCCCTTGTCACATCGTCTCTGATTCTCCTGCTTCCTTTTCCATCTTTTAAGGATCCCTGTGGGGTGGGGTAATTCAGGAAAATCTCCATATTTTGTGATCCTTAACCATATTGGCAACACCCCCTTTGCCTTGTAAGATGACATATTTACAGGTTGCAGTGACGAGGGCAAAGAAGGGCACAGGCATCTTTGTGGGGGAGCATCATTCTGCCTACAAACACCTAGGCTACTATTTTTTTTCTTTTTGCAGGGAAAGATGGAGTTCTGATTTCACTAAGTGGCATCTATGCTGACATTAGGAGGGGACAAAAGTCAAGAAGGAAAGGTCTGGAAGCAGGAAGAAAGCTTGGTTAGTGCACTGGTGGACACACTAGTCAGCTATTGTTAGCTATTCCTCCTAATTTCAGGAATCCACAAAAGCAAAGATTTACTTTTCATTCCAGCCACATGTCCACTGTGGACATGCTTCATTCCAGGGCCTAGGCTGAAGGACAGCCCCTATCTGGGACATGCTAAACTCATGGAGGGGGAACGAGTTAGGTATCAGAGCCACAGATGACTCTTAAAGCTTCTGCTGAGGAAGGGAACTGTTCCACTAATATTTCACCACTAATATTTGGCTGGTGAGTCA